TATTATTTAGTAAATTCTTTTAAAAAATACTAATAAAAGTTTTTTTAATTTAATAAATTTTTTTTAATATATATTAATAAAAATCTTCTCTAATTAAATAAATTTTTTTAAAAAAGTATTAATAAAAATTATCTATTTATAAATAAAAAATACTATAATTTTTAAATATTTATTAAAAGTTCTATATATACAAAATATTAATAATTTAACTGTAACAAAAAACTATATATATTTATACTTAATCTATTTTCTAAAACAACATATTTTCCACGGTTTATATAGGTAGAATAATAATAATAGATGCCTAAGCGAAATGATGAAGGAGGTGGCGGCGGTGGCGCATCCTATAGTTATCCGATAGTTACGCTGGCTAGACACCGGCTCCAACATATTGTCAACATGTCCGCCAACTTTCAACTTCCAAGCATCCGACTATATCAATCACATTTGAGAAGAAAGGCCTTGGAGCAGCATGCAGCGTCTGCCTGGAAATAACTGCTTGTTGCAATATTCAGAGGATGCATCTCGCGTGGTGGTTGGGAATTATTAAAAGGGGCTGCGTCGATCTCCAGTCGAGTTAACAATCTATAATATCAGTGTGACTAGCGGATGGAAGATAGAAGAGACGGAAGAGACAGGAAGGAATAAATAGCTATAACTACGGAGTACTTGGGCATCCTTTCTGCTGGCTCCCGGTAGGCTATCAAACGGCCACATTTACCTCAGGGAGGACAACGTTGGTTAGCTAGCAGATACAAAGGTCTGTTGAACATCATGGCTTGATATCAACCATACATCCCCCCCTCTATATATAAAATCTAGTTGTATGACTAATTCCTCGATATAGGAACAGTCTCAACATGGTCCTCGCAAAGCAAGCGGTGCTCTGGCTGCTGGCCTCAGGGCTTTCTCTTGCGCTGGGTAGAAGAGCGCAGCCCATCGATGCCAAAGTCATCCACGTCTTCAACCCGGGCAAGACGTGCTCCCCTGGGACGATGAAAGGGACGGCGCAGATGAGCGGCGACCAGGGAACGGTGGAAGTGACCTGCTCGTATGAAGACCACAGCTACTCGGCCTCGATAGCCCTCTACCCTGGCAGACTCACTGGCGCCTGTTGCTACGTGCCGGACCAGGACGTCTTCCTGTTTGTCCAGGATCAGCGCACCGAGCCCCTGACCAACTACTCCCTGGACGGCGCAATCTGCTGCAACGAGGGCGCAGGCCAGGCACCCGCCAGCTTCCTACGGGACAAATACAGCGGCCGATGCTCGTACGGCTCCGTTACCCATGGCTTCCCAACCGACTTCAACCAGGACCTGGTGACCAAGTGCTGCTGGTCGACATCTACCAACGAATGGACCGTCCACTTCTCTGAGCTGCAGAAGCACATCTTCCTCACCGTCCCGCTGACGCAGAAGATCAAGACCATGCAGGTTGAACGGGCAGACTTTCACAAGGCCTACATGGAGCTCACCGTGTCGGTTACCTGGGGCATCCCCTTGACCGGAGGCACCGAGACGAACCGCAAGACCATCCGCTTTAACTACGGTAAAAACATCGACAGCGCCGAAGAGACTAAAGTGAGCCACAACCTGGGATGGTACCAGGTCACGACCTCGACCAGGATCGATGCGGACGGCAAGCCGGAATTCCTCTTGCACTGGGACTCGTGGCTCTTCTCTCCAGACCTGGGACGCCCTATCTCCTCTGAAAAGGGGACGGACAAGGTCGAGATTCCTGCTGGCCGTCTGGACGAGATTGCACAGTTCCTCAGCACGACAGCCACTCTTTGCTAGTTACTTAGTATTATTAGCCGCTGTCTCTTGTCCGCATACGTCTTCCTACAACGCACCCAGTTGGCGTAAAGGATACGGTGGATGTAATCTCTGTCGCCGGAAGGTTTATGTTTCGGTAACTAGCCGGCGTAGCTTCCACATCTCTATCCCTAAATGCTCAATATACTGCGCTCACTGTTAGATAGATGCCACCAAAAAAAAAAAAAGAATTTGTCAACATACGTTGATTGCATCTACATTTGTGGTATCATGAACTGCACGTTTATTGAAAAACTCGTAGAACATCCTGTGTGGAGGACAGAGTGAGCTTTCATACTGTCTTTATAGCTTCTATACAACCAGTTATAGAACGCCTTGACGTCCGGAGCCTGTATATTATGAAACTATCACGTTGGAGATGTGTCGAACTCTTCAGTACAGAATCTGCCTTGACTTATCGTCAGTAAGATATGAGAGATGAGCTTACGCAAAATGAAGAATTATCTATGCGATAACCTGACCGAAAATTCTAGGTGATATCTTGAAAAGATGGTCGAAATGCTACTAGAGAAATTGGACGGAAAGATCTCGCCAAGTACAGTCAGTTCGCGAAGAAAATGCGGCGCATCGCTAAGGAACGAGTTCGCAAACGTCGAGACGAGTTAATTAAGTTAAACTTATTAGTTAACTAACTATTAAGTTAAGGCTCGGCGAGCAAGCCAAACTAATGCTGGACAAAATAATACCACCCGCTTCACTGCCTTCAGCTCCAGACTGCCAAACATGCCGATCAATGCTACCATCCAACTTTATTCCCAACTATATAGCTTTGAGGTCCCTGACAATCTTCCCAACGGCCATTATTCTTATGCCAAGGGACCCAGTTCAACGTGCGCTACGCGGTGCAGCTCTCGCAATGCACAGTTTTGGTTAGACGGAATCGGTATAGCAGCCTTGTCATTGTCGAGAAAGTACTTAATATGATCAGGCGCAATTTGTAGAAGGCATGTAACGGGATCTCCGTGAGTGGTGCCTGGCTGGGCAGCATCTGTACTGCGGTTAGCCAGTTGCTTGTACGAGTGAGTAATTGAATCTGGAACACATACCATCGGTGAGGGTTTGGGTACATTTCTCATAGGCTGGGTTACAAGTCGGCAGGGTCTGTGCAGCTTGTTCAGCTTCAGCCTTATCAAACTGCGGATCATGGGCCTTTTCCGCAATATCAAGACACTGCCTGGGTATATCAGGGCACTATTAGCGATATTTAGTTAGCTAAGATAGGTTGCCAAATAGAGGTTCAAAATTGTAATTAGTAGTTGGTAGGCCACACCTGTTCCTTGATGAGGCCGATCCAGGGCGCGTCAGTCATCGCGCGCGGGGCGGCCAGGACGACGGGGGTTAGGAGAGCGACAACAGAGATGAACTGCACACTCTATTAGCAGCATTTCTCGCTATTGCGAAGTATTGATTCTTTACCTTCATGGTTTCTTTATCGCGTGCGATTTCAGTGGATATAATGAGTACAAAAGATAGGATCGAGAGGAAATGGTAGAGGGGAAGACGTGAGATTTATATAACACAGCTTGGGGCGGTGAGCAGGCACGTATATATTAAGATAGGGGGTACTCCGTAAGTACAACTAGATTGTGGATTTTACTCCACAGTGGCAGAGATATCTACATGGCTGGCTCAACCTGATTAGTCCACAGTGGCATAGATACCTCCATGGCTGGCTGAATCTAAAACTCAAAATACATCTTCCTGCTGCTGTTTATCAAGTAAATTGGCACCCGAGTCTCAGGTTTCGAGGAACTCTTGTATAAAGTAATCTTCTTTTATAAGGTATTAACTAATTTCGCCAACTTTATGAATATATCTCTTTATTATTAATTCATCTATATTCTAGTACTACCGTCAGAGTAGTGCGGTTCTCGAATTCTTTACGGAGTAGAAGCTGGCAATCAACTCAGCTCAGCAATTTATCCAGGAGGTAATGACCGTGCGACAAGCTGAGCTGTGGGGCAAGCTAAGCTAACTGATGGATTATAGTTACTATTTTCCGCTCTTGTAGATCATCGGCACCTGGCCTCATAAATTGGGCTTCGGCGCTCGATCGACTATTTATGAGGGACTGAAAAATGGTCTGTTGTGGGTACATGATCTGCATTGTTCTTGTCACAGTACTTTTTCGGTGACCACCCGTCTATACCCTATCCACAAAAAGGTCAAGATACGTGAACCGGCCTGGGCTCACCACGTATAAATCCCAATGGCGGAAGGAATCAGTTCAACCCGAGGGATAACCATACTATGCATCCTTCTTGTGGTGTCTTGTGAACAAAGGACGGCTTCACTTCTGTGACCTCGTATTTCTATAGACTTGTTCCAAGCTTAGTGGACGCCAGGCCAGCCCACCCAAACATGCAACACTCTAGTATGCAGCGCTCATCCTAGCATTTACCACTCGGTCTAGGCTTCAGCACTCTGTCTAGTTTCCAACACTCCACCTCACCCGTGCGTCCAGCTCGTCCTAGTATTCAGTGTAGTCGCCCGAGTATCAAGTGCTCATTCTAGTATTTAAGAGTCGTTCTAGCATATAGCAGTCGCTCAAGTATCCAGATACTTGTCCCAGTATTCAGTAGTCGATCTAGTATCTATCATTCGTCCTGGTATTCAATAGTTATCCGAGTATCCAGCGTCCATCCTAATATCCAGCACTCGTTCTAGCATCAACAGTAGCCCGAGCGTTCATCGCTCATTCGAGTGTTAAACAGTCGCCCGAGCATTAACGGTCATCTGGTGGTATCGTCCTAGTCTCTTTCTGCGCCAACGCCAAGCTATCTTTGCATGTAATGTACTTTGAAAAGTCAAGCCACTAGTTATTTTCCCACTACAGACAGGCATAAGACTCGAAGAAAATATTTACACGAATACGTATCTTCGTGATATTGAACTTCCGGCTCATGAACAACACCCTTTCTCTCTTATAAACAGTGATGAATGTTTCTGATTATTATTTAGTACGTGAGTGACTGAATCACTAAACTACTACTCCATACTCGGGTAACTGGTGGATCGGAATGTCAACAACCTTAAGTTAAAACCAATTTAGCTATAGAAGTGGAGCCAATGATGTCATAAAAAAATAACAAACATGAAATATTGGTACGTAAGGCTTCAAGATTTAGGGAAAGTGCAAATTAGTAGTGGCCCAACAGAGGTTAATTACTAGTCAGGCAGGGCTAGGGAATACTTTGGTTGATCGAGAACACATAGCGTTTATCATATTGATTAACGTCCCATCTTTGACACAATGCCTGTGACTACAAGGCGCATGAGCGACAGGCAGCACCAGGAGGAGGACCACACTTACAATGGCATTGAAGACCGAGTCCCTGAATGCATAACAATGTATCCTGTGTTTTGTACCGCCAAAATACCCTCAGATGTATGTATGAGTATGAACTACTAAATATTTACTATTAGCTCACCTGCATACCATTCCAGATTCTTGATGAGTTTATCGATGAGTCGTACGCGGGAATAAGAGATGTCATTGGTGAAGGCGACCTCCCGGCCTATGGCATGGCTCCATGTATTCTCCAAACAACCGATCTCGATTCAATCACTCACGGCTCCCGCAAGCCAATGCCAGTGGATTTTGAATCTCCCTTTCTTAACTGGACAGATGAACAGGTCCGAGAGTGGGCGACGAAAGCGTTAAGGCCTGGGCACCCCTCTTTCGCACAAAGGACATTTACTATTCTCGATCAAAATACAGTTGATAACAAGATCTGTCGGGTAGGATATATTAGTGTCTTCCAGGAAGACGAAGATTATGGGATGTTAAGCGAAGTGTTTTATGGGGATATAATGGCAAGGGTTCCCCTAGAACTGGCCGAGAACGTTGTTGAGCGTAGGGGAAAATGGGGTACTTGACCCGGTTGAAGAGCGCGCATGGGCCGAAAAAAGCCATAAGGAGAAAGGGAAGTGAATACTGTTTGCCTTGGTAGTATATTTATCTTGTATGTAAGGATCTGATATTATATCTAGCTCTCCTGATCAAACTGGGTGCTGACTTGGCATAATCATTGGTTGATTAATTAAGGCCATAGTTACTATATGGTGATTGATACACAAGGATAGATATAACTGAGAGAGAAGCGTCTTGTTGCTAGGTTACTGCGAATGTTCGCTGGGCTAGTAACTCCTGATGTAATTAGACGCAAAATGGAACCACCTTTGTTAGTTATTATCTTTAATATCGCTATTACAGGAGAAGCCTCTCGAATTTAGGGGATATTCGCTCTATTTGACGTTTGACGAGGGATATCTGATAGTTAGTGTTGGATTGGTAAAAAAAAAAAAATAGTTACCACTATAGTTATGTCAGTGAATATATTAACTATATAGAGAGCATATAATTCTATTCTCAAAACGATATATTAGAGAAATCTACTTTATTATCTACTAAGAAGGCTTTCTGATACCGATGGGAATCTTCACAACTATTTAAAAGAAAGGTGCATTTGCCTAGGTATAACTAACGAGTAACTACTAAGGATAGACGCAGGTATTGCGTACACAGAGATTGTTTACAGGGTTCCATGGGCTCTGGTATGCCAAGACATGACGGATGTATCCTCCTATCGTGGCCCATCTAAGAAAAATAGGGAGGTGATCTTCCTTCAAAAAAGAACTGGTTATAGGTGAAAGAAGAGGGGAACCTCTGAGCAGTAGCGGCATCACATCCTGAGCTTTACAGCCGCGACTTGATAACTTCTGGATCATGGCTCATGATGGAGGCAAGTTTACGGCTTGTGACATCTGTGATGGCCATGTTGGTTACCATGGGGTTGACGCCGCTGGCACTTGGGAAGACGGAGGCATCGGCGACGTAAAGGCCAGAAGTGCCCCAGACCATGCCCGTGGGGTCAACGACGCTTGTCTTTGGGGAAATCCCCATGCGACATGTACCCATTTGATGGGCACTTGCGAACATAGACTGTTCCGTCGGCAGAGGGACACCCGTACGAAGTTTCTTGACCCATTCCTGGAATGCGGCATTGTTGACACCCTCATCCGCTGCATCAGAAGATGTCTCCGGCCGGGTGAAAGTCGGGATAGCTAACGATGAAGATCTTATCTCTCTCGCACCGGAGACGTATGCGATTTTTGCGGCGCCGATGATGCCCTCTAGAATGTGCTTGCGGTCAAAGGCAGAAGGGGTATACTCGATGCGGCATCTTCCGTCATTGGGGTCAGGGTATACTCTTCCGGTGTCTCGATCGCGGGTCAGACTGATAAAACCTGCCATTCGGCGGGCGTTGGCGGCGAAGATCTTGTAGTCGAGGCCATTATCCCATGCCATCAGGGGAAGGAAGAAGTTTGGAAGCATGACGACTGCCTCGATCTTTGAGCCGTGGCCACGGCCGTCGAGGTTCTCGAAGTCACTAACAAGGGACGTCAAAATGGAGCCCTCCCATGGCCGAGTTTCATGATCGAACATGGCAGACATAATGATAACTGTGGTATAGTTAGAAAAATGTACAGAAGAGTGTTTTTTTTAGATGAGATGGGAGACGTGTACCTGGGTGAAGGTGAAGGTTGCGGCCTATCTGCGGGTTCTTGAGTCCGCTACGGAGAAGCAGCAGAGGACTCTCAAGCGTTCCACATGAAACCACAACCTTTTTCGCCTTGATGACGACCTTTCGGGTTATAGCCGGTTTACCATGGGTTGCTCCAGAGGCATCCCGAGAAGTCCACGTCCCTCGAACACCGATGGCAACCTTTTTGCCCTTGACCAGTTTTCTACCAAAGAGCACCTTTTCAGCCTTGAAACCTTCGATAAAGGTAGCTCCAGCCCTTGCTGCATCGGCCAAGAAAGTAACGGCGGGCCCCTGTTTGATACCGGCGGCACATCCCAAGGCGCAGTATCCGCAGGCGTGCTTCTGATGGCCTGTGTTTTGGGGTACGGCTTTGGCAGAGTATCCAAGCTTGCGAGCACCTTCCATCAGCACGCTGTTTCCATGGTTTTGCTGGATGAAATCAGTGGAGACACCCATGTAGTCACAGACTCGGTCAAGGGAGGTCTGGTAGGCAGAAGATGTGAATAGAGGCAAGCCAGAGTTAGCCCATTCCTCCCGTACCATCGACTGGGTCTGCAGCGACGCCGACCAGTTGATAGTACCGCCTCCGCCCCAAGTCGAGCCAGAGACGACGCCTATCGAACCATCGTCCGACAGCTCTGCTCCACCGTTGCTGAATAAATGGAAAGCACCTTCACTGCCGGACATGGGGTAGTGGTCATTAGGGAAGAAGTAAGACTTCTCTACCACGATGACTCGATGGCCAGCCTCTGCGAGATTCTTCGCAGCCACGCCGGCACCACACCCGCTGCCAACAATGACAACGTCCGTCTCGATGATCTCGGGTCCATCTCCGGCCGGAAACTGGAGGAAGGAATAGGGAAAGCCCTCCGACGTGGCTCCATGGACGGGGACGTTGGGAAAGCCGAGAACGAGAGGCAGAGACGGGCTAGAGCCGACCCAGGACTTCTTGGTGAGGGCGACGAGCGCCCGGTGAGCAGCACGCAGCAGAGGCAGATAGGAGGACCTCCACGAAGACAGAATCTGCCTGCGAACATGGTAAGGCTGGTGCTGGAAGGGCGTCCGAGACCCTGTAAGCGCAAACGAGACCGCAAAGTTGTTGAGTCCCGCCAATATGGTTTTGATGCCCCTGAGGCCCTCCTGGTGGACATGCAGTGCTAGAGTACGACACATGCTCTCCTTGAATCCGGGAATGGAGGAGGCACTCTCGTCCAGGTACTGCACAGCAGCCTTTGCAGCCTCAGACTCATCTTCGACAGCCGCCGGCCGGAGCGAAGAGACGAGGGCATCAAACTGGGGCTGGGAGACGAGATGGGTGGTAGAGGAGTCCGCGGTGCCTGTGCACCCAATGGATGGGATGACGGTGTCTGCAATCGCAAGAAGAGTCTCCCACTGGGCCGGGGAGAAGATATCTTCGGGGCGAGGCGCTGGGGGTAACGGGGATGCCTGGACGGTGAGAGCCATGGCTTGGTATAATTAACAGGCACTTAGGAGATGAGCAGTAACTAGATAAAACGATAATGAAGACTTAGGGTTGCAAGCGAGAGAACAGCCCACCAGCAGCAGGACGGGCGGCCTTCTGGTAAACAGCGTTGACTAGTCAGGGCTGGGGAGTTGCACCAGATCAGGTTGAAAAGGATGGAGATGGAGCTGTCAGGCAACTAAAAAGAGTCCGGGGAAAGCTGCTGGCCGGGACAGTCCACTGTTTTGCTTAACTACAGCGGTGACGACGGAAGGAGGAGCCTGGAGAGAGCGATCGATCCAAGGGCCGGGGGCGCAGAGTCCACAGGGCCCGTCGGCGAGTTGATCACCTCGATTCTCCTCAGCGGCCTATGTAACTACTCCGGAATGAGACCCAAATTCATCGTTCCACCATGTCCGGAGTAGCTGACTAGGTAGCCATGAGTTAGCCCCTGAGCGGCTAGTTAGTCAACGTGGAGCCGAACAGCCCAAGCAAGCCGAGGAAGATGGGATGCAACGCCACCTGCCTGTGATCCCAGCTGAGCCGTTGCTCCCACGGGCTCCCTCGTGCATTAGATATACGGAGTGACCAACGGATAATAATATTAATAGTGAGGGTGGTTAGGTAGTGAGCTGGTTGATCAGCCATTTCCGCCCTCGGCCAGCCATTAGTTATCATATGCTGCATGATTCACTCCATTTATTATCAACTACGGAAGACATTTCCCCAAGCACGCCGTCTCTCCCAAAACATCATCAAAGGCCATCTAGTCCAAAATGTATACCGAAAAAAATAATAATAAACCAGGATAGCTCTTCAATCGAGCCCGCTCTCCTGCTTTGATCCCCGGGCAACATTGCTGGATGCTGGAGAAACTGATGAATTTACCCTAAGAACCCCAAAAGAGGAATAGTATTATGATGACTCAGCAATGACACCACGTGGTATGATTACACGAGCATGTTTGGTCTAACTATAAGCAGTCTAGCGTCTGCTTACACATCACTGACCTGTTGTTGCGTATGTAAGCAAATCGCTAAGCTCGAAGAGGTTAGCCGGTGACCTGTTTCGCAGCTCGCTTCTCTTTTGCCTGTCGAAGTTTCTCCTTTGCTCATAGTTCGTTACTCCGTACATCTCCTTCCAAAGTCGCTGAGCAGTGACAGCATGCTCCATGCACTCGGAATACCTCGAATATCCAGGACCAAGGCCGGGTGACTGTCCCGAGATTGTACGCTGCTTCACCCGTTCCTCGGACGACCGTGCAATCCAGACCTGCAATCCAGATGCCTCCGCTGAAGAACGGCGACCTTCAACGCCATGGGAGAAATCGACACAGCTTATCTTGGTTCACACTGACGGCTCATACCCTAACGTAAATCCATGAATCCATGAATGTCATATTATCACTACTCATATCCGCTTGGATAACTTATTACTGGCCTATCCGTTAAGCTCGGTGATTTTTTGGCGAATCAGCGATGGTGTCTCTCGATCGGGATCTGAACGGCTCCGACGATCTTGGTTTTTCAACCATGCAATGATATTTGGCAGTTTAACACCGTCATGTTTGCTGGAGATTGAGACTGGCCAAGGTTGCTGGATTAGAGGACATGTACACTTAGCCGCGGCGAGACAATCCTTCCCTCAGCGGCCAACACCTGGCTAGGCCGCATCATTGAGAAATGCTGGACCCAAGAAATTACGTCCACCAAAGACCTCGCCGTGGAGTTGGACAAGGAGAAGGGTAGCGGACTCGGGGTATCCCTTTTATGTCTCCATACATGTATCCCATACATGTATCCATGCATATCAGAAAATTGCCCAAGAAAGCTGACTCGCAAAACCATGTCTGAGCATGTGGCATCCCGATCCTTTGATACCTCCATTTTATTTCCTGCTTGCTCACCCAACGCATAAATGAAGACCTTACGCTCCAACAGCACGGTCAAGTCGACGGGTTTCAACTTGCAATTCCACTGGCGCCGATTATGAACCAGAGTCTTGTCTTTGACATCCACGGGCTAAGAGAAAACAGAAGTCGATAACACAACTCGCTGTCGCAACCCTGGAGATGACCCTTTAAAGCATAACACATAACATCATCGCGTAGACCCTCCTAGCTAATATTATATAGTTGATTATATCAATATCAACATGAAAATATGTACGCCGTAATAGTCAGCTTAAGTTCGCCTCGTGGCTTGGCAAGGGCTTTTTTGTTTCCCCTCCAAAAATTTACCTTTTTTTTTTTTTTTTTTTTTTTTTACGGTTTCTCCCTCTTGCCCATCGCGGGGATTTTTATTTTTTTTGCTCTCCTTCTTCTTCCTCTTCTCTCTTCAGCTTCAGCGTCACCGTCGACTTCAACGCCTGCTTCGATTCCAGCTTCTTTGTGTCAGTAACTCCTCGACCGTTTTCAACCAACCCACCGCCGTCTTCTCCGCCATCATGATTATCTTCAAGGTAAGCGACCCCGCGATCTCTCTAGGCGCAGAGTGGGATCTGACGCAGGACAGGATATCATCACCGATGACGAGCTCATCTCGGACGCCTACAAGATGCAAGACAAGGGCGTCATCTTCGAGGTCGACGCAAAGAGAGTCACCAAGGGCGCTGACAACATCCGTACGGGTCCCTTATTCACCTCCTTCGCTTCGTGTTTAGGTATCCAAAAGTGTGTGGTGGCTAACCGGGGAGTAACTCCTGTCCATAGAACTCGAGGGAGCCAACCCTTCCGCTGAAGAGGCCGACGAAGGCACGGAGGATACTAGCACGACCGTCATCGACGTCGCCGACTCCTTCAGACTCAGCCCCGTTGAGTTCGATAAGAAGGCCTACACCTCTGCCGTCAAAAGTACCTCTCCCTCCCCCGCACCAAATAGAGATACCTCCCTCGGGGTATCGCCATAGTCAATGCTCTATCATATTATCTACTCTTGGTTTCTGCCTTTCAATACCATCTTTCTAACACTGTCGTGCAGGTTACATGAAGTGTGTTGTCACAAAGCTCAAGGAGGCAGGCAAGAGCGAAGATGAGATCAAGGAGTTCCAGACCGGCGCCCAGGCCGCTGCAAAGACCATTTTGGCCAACTTCAAGGACTACGAGACCTACACTGGCGAGTCTATGAACCCCGATGGAATGTAAGCATTGCATCCCCCGCCGCCTTCGGGCTTATCAGCCGTGCCATTGGGACTAATAATTCTCCTCTTTCCAGGATTGTCCTCCTCAACTACCGCGAAGATGGAATCACCCCATACTTCACCTTCTGGAAGCATGGTCTCAAGGAGATGAAAATCTAGAGAATCGACATTCTATCTATTTTACATTTTTGTCCACTAGTTGTCCACCCTTTTCCAGTTACAGACATACAACGGGCCTCAAAAGAAGGGTTGGCCACCCCTCGGGGCTTCTCCCAGATGCATAGATTCCCACCAGGTAGTTCAAGCTCCCTGAATCTCGACCCGTGGCGGGAATTCTGCTGCCCGAACCTCTTTTAACTACCTGCCAAGGATCTTGTCGTAATACCACCTGTAGTTGTGTTTTCTATTCTTTACTACCCACCCATAGCCAAAACAGTAGAAGCATCGTGCTAGACAATATTAGTTGATAACACTTCCGATGAACAGTTATCTTAGTTCCTGCTGGTGTAAATAATTATCCGGTTGATTGGACTGGGCTATAGCGAGAATCAGTGGGAGATCAAAAGTATGCAAACACTCTAGCAAGGCCAAAATTCCAAATTCCACAGGCAAAATCACCTATCGCAAAATACACGATAATACCAACCACCGACACCCATCAGCCTCCACATCTGACTTCTAACCCGAAGTATTGCCTGTTTCTTATCCCTCTCTGACTCGATACATCCCCGCCTTACACCATGTCTCACGCGCGAGTCGAAGAAGTCTCCGACTCAGACCCGGACGACATGGACCCGTCGGATTTCGACCCAGCCAAAGACTCAATCATATACCACAAGGACATGGAGGGCCCCTCTGCCGGCAGAAGTAATAGTAGCAGCACAATGCCCCTTCGCCCCCCAGCACGCCCGGCCGCCGCCTCCTCGTCCCCGTCTCCGCCTCTCTTCCCTGGCTCGCAGCAGCAGATGCGCCGTCCCACCATCGCTCAGGGCCGTGACATCCCACGCTCATACCAGTGTCTATACGCCGTCTACTTTGACAAATCGCGAACTCGCGCAGAGGGTAGGAGAGTCAGTCGGAAGCTAGCTGTGGAGAGCCCGTTGGCAAAGGACATCCTGGACGCCACGCAGCTGCTCGGGTTGAGCGTTGGGTTCGAGCCTGATAAACTGCACCCCAAGGATTGGTCGAATCCCGGGCGTGTGCGTGTCATGTTGAAAGATGAGGAAGGACGACCGGCGCATTCCAGTATAAAAAATAGTACGGCTTTTGGATTTCCTTTTTCCCTTTCCCTCCATTCACTGTATCTTTACTGGTTATCGGGATATCAACTAATGGCTGGTAGAACATCATTTATATACTCATGTTGCGCAGTATCTACAATCGCACCCAACTACTGAACAGTCTCCCTTCAGACTGAGGTTACAGGGTATGCCTGTGCCAGAAAAGCCGCCAGGGCCGCCCGCCACACCGCGAGGATGGAAAATCAGCAAAGTCTTACCATTGCATTCTCCTGCGTTGACCGGCGGCGGAGTAAGCGATAATCCATTCAAGGAGGCTATGAAGGAGATGCAAGCACAACAAGGTCTTCCGGGAATGCCTGGAATGCCGAATATGCCTGGTATGCCCGGAATGTCAGGACCGGGCAACGCACCGCCAGATCCCAAGAAGAAGAAGGACAAAAAGAAGGGGAAAGCATAGACTTGGTTAAACAATAAATTAGCATTATTTAACACACGCTTGGCCCAAACTGAGCAGCTATTGCAGAAAGGATTACTCTTAAGCCGTACGGAGTACATCATCTTATAACCAACCGCCAGCCAACGGCTCACATGGCGAATTAAGAGCCAACGTAACGAACTAACTAGTTAGCGAGCACGCTAGCAGTACCTGAGACGCGTCGCTGCCGTAGATTACTCCGTCATCGGCATCAAACAAGCATGACCAGTCACATCGGCCGCACTGTCAGCTGTAACTCGGCCATCAATTATTAATTCAGACGCATCTCGAAGCCGGCAAATGTGGAGTTTCCGCGCTAAGAGAACTTAACGAGCCAACACCGCGCCTAACTTCGGCGCCGGCAGGCGATAAGCGCGCATCCCCTCGTGAACGTTTTTTTGTGACTTCAACTTCGACTTTCGACCTCACGCTATCCCCAGCCCTCTCGCTCCCTGCGAAGAAGTAAAAGCTCTTGCTTCTGTTGCAGATGTCGTGGTACTAAGACCTCTCCCGCCCTCTATCCGCCTCTGCCCTGCCAATGAGTCTGTGGGACGAGAACCCGCCGCCGCTGGCTCAGGGCGACGTCATTCCCCAGCAGCGCAGCACCGTCGCCGAACAACCTCAAGGTAATGGCCAGTTCGCGGGAGACCATCGCAATTATCTTTCTGGTTCCGCTTCTGGTGCTACCCCGGGCCCGTCTGCTGGCAAGACGACCCCTCGGCGTAAGAGCCATGGCTTCGGTGGGAAACAGATCACTCGTACCAGGGTGAGCTACTCGTGCCATACCTGTCGGCGGCGCAAGGTCAAGTGTGACAAGGTTTGTTTCGTTTCCTATCTGGCTTGCCGCACATATCCAACGATAACTACTAGCTGACCGTTCTGCACTTCAATAGGTCCATCCAGTATGTGGGAACTGTGTCAAGACAGGCACCGAGTGCATGTATGATTCTACGGCCGCTGCTGCCCAACGAAATCGCGCCGAGGGCAACCACCAGAGAGTCAAACGCAAGAGAGACATGTTAAAACCTGCAGAAAAGGATGAACTAGACCTCTCCTCTCCGCAGGAGAGCCTCCGTGAACTGCTGAACTACCAGGCACGTCTCCGAGACCAGAAATCTGGCTCCGATGAAATCGCCACCCGCCTGGATCGGCTTACCTCCATGATCGAACGGCTTAGCCGTACAGGTGATGCGCACAGCATTGAAGGAAACACCGCGGGAGGTGGGAGTGCCGGCTCAAATGTTGCTGGAAGGTCTGGAATTGTTGATGGTGCGTCAGGACGCCCTCGCAACAAATCGGTCTCGTCATCGGCCTCCGTCTCGCGCCAGTCCAGCCCCAGGCGTAATTCCGGCGATGCTAGCAACGATGATTTCCCAATCCCAGCCGGTCTTTCCACCGACCTTGTTGACCCTGTGGGTACCCTGAATTTGGGACACTTGAGTCTGGAGGATAGTGGTAGATCTCGATATGTTGGGACCACTTACTGGGCTTACATCTCGGATGAGATTAATGAGCTAAATCAACTCCTCCGAAACCAGAATCGCTCCCAACCACCGATTATACCCCAGCCAGCTCCCTCTAATGGTGGCAATGATCCCTCGATATCCCCAGTGCAAAAATCGGATGAATCTAATAGCCAGGTCCAACAGTGGCTGGCCACGCATGAAAGTAACATGCATGATTCAATCCTCTACCCAAAGGCCGGCGGACCTTCTTCACACATAAAGCCTATACAGGCAGATATGCTCAATCACGTTCCAACAAGGCATCAAAGCAACATCCTATATAAATCTTTCATGTCCGGCGTCCAAGCTATCAGCCCCGTTCTCCACCCTCCCAATGTGCTCAAATCATATGAAGAATTCTGGGACTGGTATGCCATGTATAGACAACCGGGAGCCCCGTATCCTAGACCTTCTTTTATCCCACTCCTTTATGCCATCTGGTACGGTGGTTCAGTTACCGTCTCCCTAAAGACAATCCATGCCGAGTTCAACCTTGAGTCACGCTCGGCGTTAACCGAACCTTTCCACGATGAAGTCACTCGCTGGCTAAAGACCATATCTTTCCCTCGAAGCCCATCCCTCAACGGCCTGGCTGCCTTCCTCCTTGTCCAAACCATCCTATCCAAGGAAGAAGAACCTTTGACCAGCAGCCTCTTCATCAGTTTGGCCCTTCGCGTAGCTCAAACCATGGGCTTGCACCGTGACCCCGCACAGTTTGGTATCTCCCACTGCGAAGCTGAGATGCGCAGACGGATGTGGTGGCATATTGTTCATATGGATGGTGTAGTTGCCATGTCAAGTGGCCTTCCACCTCTCGTCAGTGACGAAAACTATTGGGACGTTCGTCTTACCAGCGAAGTTAAAGACACACTGCTCACTTCACCAGAGGCCGAAGTGTACGAACGGATGGTAGATGAGGGCTACCGACGTCCCGATAAGCCAGATGATCCATCCATATGCGGTAATTCGATGGTTAACGTGTACTACATCTCTGCCAAAGGAAAATACATAATGGCCCGTAAGTCCTTTCCTTCCCATGATTGTACCTGGTACATAAAACGCATGGTTACTAACCCGTACTTAGGTGCCATTCGGAAGATTCTGAAGATACTATTGGGAACTAGACCTGTCACGAGAAAAGATATGGAAGATCTCAAATCAGTCCTTGTTGACCTTCAATTTAAACTTCATGCACTCGTTGATCGAATTTCCAACCCTAAACGCCCAAGTGCCAATTCCGATACGACCCGATGTATCAAGCCCGACCTCCCTAACGGTGGACCTGGGTGTGGTGAGCAGTATCACACTCCAGTGTTAACTGCATTCCACAAATGGGCAAAGATATTACTGTCTTTGTTTGTTCATAAAGCTTTCTGCGTGGCTTACCAGCCTTTCCTGAAGAATGCTAAAAGCAAGATATGGCCAGCCGCAAGGCAATGGTATGTTCCATTGACATCAATTAAACAATGTGATTGAATCACACTAAACTATACTATAGTGCACTACGTCATTGCCATGGTTTTATGGAAAAATTTATCCTCCTTGCGACGGACCCAGATTTCCAGCCTTTCCAATGGAGTTGGCCTGGGTAAGTATAGAGAAGTATAGAGTATCACCTATTTATAATTGAACATAATCTGACATGTAGCAGAAATCACCAACCGATGCATGCAACGATGTAAGTACCACTGGACTTGTAAACAACCTTATATACTGATTTTTTTTTTTTTTTCTCTAGGATAATGCTTATAGATTTATATGAACGGCCTACAAGCTCAGAGGCACCCAAGTCTAGGGCTTTTATTGATAAGATATTCTCCCTGTCCGGTCCAGATGGTGGAGTTGTAGGAGGCGAAGATGGGGTCACGACTTCAAGACCATTGAACGATGGTGGGCGAGAAGCCTGGGATATGATGCGAAGACTTCGCGAGAAGGCGTGGTTAAAGGCCGGGCTTGACCCACAATTGCTTTGGACTGAACAAGCCCAGGTGCAGGCAGGTGTTGCACCTGTCAGAAGTCCTTCCGTATCAACGACTTCCACTCGCAATCCGGAGAGAAGCCTCAAGGATCAGAGTGCATCCCCCACGACAAACTTTGCAGATAGTTACTATGCGATGATCAAGAACTCGTACGACGACCATAGGCATGTTCGACAGGCATCAGCAGAGTCGAGCCGTGCAAGAGACAAACAGCCTATCACGTTCGCAACTTTGCCCCAACAACAGCAACAGATCCCCAGTCCCACCTGCACAATCCCTGTTGTAGGTAATGCTACAACCCCACAACCGTCATCGAACGCGTTCCTCTGGCCCTCCCAGCCAGTATACCAGAACCCTTCAGGACCATTAAACCAAATCCCAGCGCTTGGCCAAGGAGATGCACGCGGCTACCTTAACCCAAACTCCGCGAAATTTGTTGCTCTGGCTGGTGACCGAGCCAATATGGCACCGCCTATTGGACTCAAAATAGAAACTTCTCAGCCAGCATTAGCTGATATTCCTCTGCAGGCAATACCACAGCAGCGTCCGCAACTATCACAACAGACGCAGCACGCATCTCCACAGCAACAACAACAGCAGCGGCCACAGCCACCGCCCCAGCCCCAACAACAGCCACCACATCCAAGTGCGTTCGAGCCGAATGTCAACTTTGATTGGGACCAATGGGACGCTGTATTTGGGCAATACCTCCCAATTATTGACGGGTACATGGACCTAGATAACAACGAGCCTCAGACGAACCCTAGTGATCTGCCCTTATCATCCACGATCCAGGTCTCAGATGGCGAAATGGGTATACATGATCGCACAATGGCAGGCCCAAGCAATAACAGAAACTGGGCTGATTTCGGCTAAGAACATTTAACTTACGCAAGAACAAGTTAATTTCAGCTGTCTGTGCAGCCCATGGCAAAAAAACTTGGAGGATTTGTGCTCTACTTCCTCGCCAGCTCACAGACATGGCTTGCAACTCCTACTTCCCTAGGTCGCAGCCCGGTAATTCTCACTCTTACGCTGAACCAGCTAGCCATGTGCTTGCGGCTGCATCTGCCCTTACTTGGGTGGCCCTTTACTTCGACGTACACGCCTCCGCTGTCTTGACAATACTAAACTCTCTCTTTTTCACATTCTCTCTATGTTTATTTTTTCCCTTCTTCTTATCAGCATGCATTTGTATGGCTATATATCAATGGTGGATAATACCCTAACCGATGGTTTCGCCTCCTTTTGCGGTGTTATGTCTAACCTCCGCCTCGCTGCCTTGAGACAGCATGGTGAACGGAAAGGGCTTTTTCATATCTGGTATGTCGACTTCCACTTGCTATGTATACGTCACCAACTAACGATCGGTCAACCGGATAGTGAAGGCTGGATAGCTTGTCAGGTTCCTGTCTCTATCAAATACAGCAAAGATTTTCGCACTCTACGTGCTATATAGTGGGCGGCAGGGAATAGCCTTCACATACGGAAATTGTCCAAGCCGACCAGTGTGTTCCAACTTGAATGCTATTTGCTCGTCCTCAGTCAATAGGCCGTTTCCCTCTATAGGACACTCTCGTGAAGCAGGCTTCGAAGGGCTTTCTATAAGGACCACGGAATCCAACACCTTCCCCTTAATGGTCCTCAGGGCATATAGCGTGAGATCGCATGTATTACTTCACCTTGAACCAAACCCGGCAGGTAAGCTATAAGATGTCCGTCTTCGCCATCCGCGTTTCCTATTCTAACACTCTCAACAGAGTTGGTGCACTGGTGCGGCTGCATGCACCGATGCAGCCCAGTTTGAATGTGTTTAGACGCCGCCGAGGCACATCGTGGTATGCCATACCCACCCATCATCGAATCATATGTGCAGTGGCTGTCTGGCTGCAATTCCGGTTCCAGAGTTAGTCTCACGCTGACACTAGTCTTTTATGCAAGAATCGTGCACAGGGATGGCCAATTTAGATGCTTTATATATGTACTTTACCACCATGCTATTGTCTCTGTTAACACTAGTGCCTAGACAAGAGCTTAGCTTGTTCCGAGCTCTAGACTTGCTATAGAAGAGATCTCTGCCATATGTTGGCACACATGTTGACACTGATACTAGTAATAAGCAATCGACTTTTCCACATATGGTGGGTTACATACTTTCACGTCTAATTCCTCACAATGGCTATTTAGGTTCGGCCCGCATATACGAAGGTTGAATCATAGCTCACGTTCCCTGCCATGGTAATTATATACCCCCAAGGTAGTGACCTATCTACACCTGGTAACGAACCTCAAGCACGGAATCAATCCGCCAAAGGCCAAGTTTATACCTCTGGTCGAGTATCGATAAAGTTAAACCCTAACCCGATATACAGAATCTCTTCATAACTTCGGGTGTGAATGACCGGCAAAAACACTCCTCAGGAGCTACCACCGGTTTCTCAGGTCTCCTAGTGTTTGGAGCCTTGGTTTCTGCTGCCGGTCTTACCTCCTGGCTCCCCCTTAACGATATATCAAACCGCTAAGCCAAAAAAAGGGAGAAGAAACCCCTAACTAGCTTCAGAGACAGCCGCTATATCATTGACACAATACCATCCCAGAGAGTCACAGGTTTCATGAATTACCTGAGCTCCCCACGCCGTGGGCGGACGAAGAACAGGTCCGGTCATTCCTGAAGAGCTGGCTTTGTCACGTCTGGGGAAGGTCGATCCCCCGACGATGAGCCGATAATCTCAACGTGAGGAGAAAGCTGCAGACATATTTGACAATGAACACCTGGGCGGCACTAATCAAAACTTGAGCCCAGGCTGACATGTACCCATTTAAAGTGCTAATCAAAGTTTAAAACCACGAGAATAGAGAGAGAGTCTAGGTTGACGAGGTGCTACTGGCTAGTAATCGTGTGTGACACTCGAGAGTGCGTCCACCTCCGCAACCACTCCCCATACGGCGCAGTAAGTGGTTCTATCATCTTGGAATACCTTCATGTCACAGCTAGTTAATAAATTTAACTAAACTAACTATTTACGTTGCAAACGCCGCTTCAGCTGAAATAACATCCGGCATCTGCTTTTCGGATACTAGAGAGAAGGGCTCGACATCTCCATCTGGTGATCTCACTCTAGAATAAGTAAAGGGGTCATCTTGTTCTGCCTCGAAGCTGAAATCCTCTTCCCACTCAACACCATCGCTATCATCATCAGAATATTCCTGAGGGTTTATGTCTGCAGCACCGCTCAAGGAAGCTAGTCGCTGTAGCGTCCATTGTAGTTCCAATAAGTCCCAGTCAGGGAGTGGCAAGTTTTGTGGGTCACTGGTCGTTAGGATTATTTCATCACCAGATCTAATTTTCCGCTCAGTGATTGCATTCCAAGCCTTGAAGTCCATTTCCAGCCCGTTAAGATCACAAGGGATATTTGGGCGAGCTGAGAGGTCAACGTTGCGAGAGAATTGATGTTGTGGGAGCCAGTAGAATTTCAGAGTCAAACGACTCTTATCCTCGGATATCTCTACGGGTTGCAGACCAAATAGCCCTTTCGAGTGCCAGCGGTGCATATTTGGACTCAGGCAGAGAAGGTTACAAAGAGTTTCAGTACCCCGTGGGAATACGGCTGCCCGCCAGTTTTCAACTCGTTCGTTGGACCAGTAAGACCGAAGGAGGATCCAGAAAGTTGAATTTGGGCTCTCGTGAGCGACACCACCCATAGAGTAAGGATAAATATGGGCGACATCAGGGTAGGCGTGCTTCGTAATGATGCATCTATCGCCATCTCGAACACAGCACTGAGATTATTAGCAAAGTCTGTACCAAACGAAACACTCGAGATTAAAACTTACATTGTCTCTAGCAGAAAACGAGCGAGTTCGCTGACGCTTGGTAGGTCTGGGTGGAGTATGAGGTTCTGGTGCTGCTGGGAGGTCAGAAGGACCCTCCCCAGCATCCTCTTGGCGTTGCACGGCCTGTCCTATCACTGTAGAGCGCTGTAACGGACTGCTTGCTGTGTGGATAAGCCCACGGGAAGGGGAAGACGCGCGTGAAGAGGTCGCCGAACCCTTCCGATCCCTTTGGCACCCTTAAAATGAGTTAGTTTTAAGTCTAGTTATAGGATGGCAGTGGAAGGGAAAACAGCCCCTACACTGTCGAACAAGGAGCCCATTATCCTGCACTATCGATGAACGCAAGCCCCGTAGAGCTGTATCATTTGAGGAAATATCTTCAACTGTGGTTTCCAGTACAGAAAGGTCCGCTAGCCATAGGGCCGCCCATGCAGGAGATGGAACTGGGATGTCGAGTAAGTTCTTAAGCCTTCGTAAAAGCTCAGCCTTCCGGTCCGATTCGAACTCTCTATTAGGACCTGGGTGGCTCATTTTTTTTTTTTTTTGTTTTTTTTTTTCTTTTCCTTCTTCTTGCATGCAGTTCTCAGAGTGGGGGGCTTATGATAATAGACAATATAACGAGATGGAAGAGCTTGCAGTTAAACGCGCGGGGCGGCAAAGTAAGTACGTAGTTATGGCTGGTCGTGAGTTAACTGGTTAGTTAAGTTACAGAAAGGGGCCAAGCGCCAAAGCCCGAATAAGAAGAACTCTGGACCCGCCCGGGGAGGAGTGTGCGTCACATGATTGAGCAAGCCCTAGTTAGCTAACTACCCCCTTTTCAAAGGGTTTGTATTATCCCTTGAAGCATCGAGATTGGCCTTCTGTATAGAAAAATAGGCTGATCATCCACATCTTGTTAGTAATAAACGAGCTAAGTAGTTACATATACATACCCTGTCTGACTCAAAACTGTAGCTAGATTATTAGTTATTATTGGGTCAAGTACGCCCCTTCATAGACCTGACAATCTGGGTCCGCCACCCAACCTGGCTTGTGTAACTAACTAACTAGTTAACGAACGGGCCATTTATTATTATTCTCTTCTATCATTCGCCTATCTTTTTTGGTCTGGGGAGCAGCGGCCGAAGCTCTATCGAATAGAGAGCATAGAAGCATAACTTTGTTTTTTTTTTTTTTTTTTTTTTTTTTTTTTGATCCAAGGCACGTAGCAGAGCTTTTTTACTGTCATCCACTTCAATACTCTATGTAGATATGACGATATATGGAGTATATTGGATATCTATATTTATATACATATCGTGAGGCATAGATCTATTCCATTCAATATTGCCTCTCAATAGCAACCGAGACCTTCTCTCCATGATCAATCAACTTTCACATGTCGCTTCCATGATCGTAATTGATTTTGCTGTTCTTGACCACCCACTCCCCGACCCGTTCGACCGCCGTTCTCGGGGACGCCTTGTGCGATAGCAAGAATCCCTGTATCTGGGCGGGGGAGAACTGCTTGTTTGGTATTTGCCTGGCAAACTCCTGGGCGAGATCATGTATCTGATCTGCAGAGAGGCCATGTCCTATTCGTTGGCGAGTGGTAGGAGCACTGGGGGGAGTTGTTGTGGCTGCTTTCGACTTGGTCGTGCAGGCAAACACTTCTCCATCTCCCCTGCTCTCGCCCATCTTACTGGAAGAGACGGGATCGCCCCAATCCCCTTCGATCTCGGAGTAGATAGCTCGGAACAGGGACACTATAGTCTGTGAGTCAGCATTGCTGAACTCGATCGTCAGATCAACGCGCCCAGGCCTCAGCAGTGCAGGGTCAAGATTCTCGGCATGGTTCGTGGTCATGACGAGAATACGGCCTTCACTCGATGCGACTCCATCGATGGTGTTGAGCAGTGAAGAAAGCGAGATGCCTGGTTGCAGCAACACGGGGGCGGGGGTCTGTCCGCCGCATTCGCCAAAACCCTCACCGTCACTATCATCATCGTCGTCGTAATTGACAGTGCTGGCTTTCAACCGAGACTGCGTGGAGGCGTTTTGTGCAGCAGGGGAAATGGAAGACGGAGCACCGGCCTGCAGACGGCTTTTGGTTATCCCAGCGGTATCGATGTCTTCTAGAAGGACGATACATCTGCGAGGAAGGGTAGCGAAAAGCGACGCCAATCCTTCCTCAGTCAGATTCGGGGAGCTAAGATTAGCGACATAGATCTTCAGTCCGAGCAGCCCAGCAACAGCAAAGCAGAGACTCGTCTTTCCACATCCCGGCGGTCCGCTGAAGAGGTATCCTCGACGATACGGAATGCCACGGTTAGTATACCAGCGCTTCGTAAAGGGATGGAGGTAGTCCTTGACGTCGTCCAGGAAGGAATCTTTCTGCTCCTGGTCCAGAATGACACTTGAAAGCGGTCTTGGGTGTCGTGCCATGCATCTGGTCCAGCTTGGCCCTGACGAAGGGTCTGAATTCGACCACCGATAGATAATTGTCTTGTTCACGTCCCGGTGCAGATAGCTCAGCTGGGCTTCGCGTATCAGGTCTCGTAGAAATGCCGTATTCCGCCCCAGACAAGAAATTCGGAGTGTCTCATTCCACGTATTTAACTTCTCTCTGGCCCGGTCGACCGTGAGGAAGCGTCCCTTATACCAGAAGTAATGCGTCCCGAGAGCAGGAGTGAAATGGATGGGCTTGATCTTGTCCCATCTGTTCGTCCGTTTCCAGTATTCCTCGAAGTCTTCCTCGTTCCCAATCATGTTAATTCCGTCGTCAACCTCCCGCTGGTCATCATCATCATCGTCATCCTCGTCGTCGTCGTATCTCGACACATACTGGCTCTCCACCGAGCTAGAGGCGAAGATATCTGTCGCCCGACTGACGAATTTCTGCTTCGACACCCAATACATCAAGTAGTTGTACACTTCGTCATTGACATGCACCTGCACTGAGGACATGAAATGACTGTGCACGAAGTTGGACACGCCATTAAAGAAGTACCGAGATGCGGCGATTATCAGTGCCCCGATGAACAGGAAGGGGAGATATTGGGATATATCAATGTGAAAGAGCGTGGAAATGACACGGGACAGGACGCCGAAGCCAGGAATGAACATCTCATAGACACCCTCGGCGGCCAGCGTGTCCCTGGGAACGAACGCTGACCCAGAGACAGCTTCGGCCGCGGCCATCTTGCCTATTAACTAGTTAACAGGAAAGAATGGAGGGATATTTATGAGAAATTGTTATGGGGAGCAACGATAATGAGGTGAGGCTCCCTCAAGCGTCGCCTGCTGGGGACAAGAGTCAAGACCACCGCAGAGACAGGATGAAGCGGCTGTTTATATCTACTCCCAGGCTCGTCTTGCTCTGGATCCATCAAGTTAACTAGTTATCTCATCGATGCGGCTGAGTAGTTAGTTATGACTCTTCTCATCTTTGGGGGTCTCCAGTCGAGTGGAGTTGCGTCCTTCATATGTCATTCATAGTTATGCGTCACCCTGAGGTATCTCCGATCGCCCGTAGGCGGGATGATTTCCTCTTCAGGCTTAAATGACGATTTCTGATATTCTTCGGTGTCCTCAAGAGCTCGCCGACGGGACTGGAGCTGCTTCAGCCTCACGGCAAGGCTGAGTGCTGCCTAGTTATATGAGTCACTAGTTAACTAGTTAATTCTCGTTGACATCCAGATCCTTGTCTCGGCCTGAGGGAATAACTACATGGTGAATAGCTTGGTATCTTATTATTCGGCAGGTAATGCGTCTTTGCGGTGGCCTGTGGGAGTGTCGGTGTCGGGAGATCGAGAAGAACCTCTATCAACTAGGTCAAGCTGTAACTTCTAACTACTCGGGACACCATACTAGTGAGGGTATGGGAGTATTCTTGCTACAATATAACCATTAGTTAGATAAATACGGAGTACCCCATGAGAAAAAAAAAAAAAAGGGACCACCACTAACAAAATAACTAGTTAACTACTCGGAGCTGCTCAGACATGATATTATCGCTCGTAACATAACTAGTGAGGACCAGCCAGCAGAAAGGCGAGGTGCGCAGCGTATTCAACTTGGGGAATAGAGTGAATAGTCGGAGTAGTTGGTGAAGTAGCGAAAAGTGACTGACTATGGCGATATCAAGAATATCATTTCATGCAGAACATCCCAGAGTATCCCACCTAAAAAAGATACACCACATCAACAGCAAAAACAACCAATATTACAAGAAATATTGCACACGCATACAAGTCGATAGAACGACAGACCACGTAAAGGCAGATATCGACCCAGAGAAAGCGCCAGAGACGGCCGAAAATATTAAGGAATACGTTAGAAAATATGGGGTCGCTGGCCTAACTACTGATAACCCTCAGAAATCGCAACTCACCCCCAGAGAAAGACGCTCGCCGAAGAGAGGCTAGACACATGTCTAGCTTGACGGTTGATGTGGAGGCCACAGACGGCCAGACGAAGAACCGCCGGCAGTTTTTAGAAAGCCGGGTGACCCCTTTACTATTCGAGAGACAACAGCCACAGAGAGCAGGCGTATGTTTGCAATATATCCTTTGTTATCTTTTCTTCGGGTATATCTAATTGGATTTGGAGTATAGACCAAGGTGGTGTCCTCGGCTCTGCCATATTGAAGGCAAAAAATATAGGAAAACAAGACACCATAATTAGCCAGGGGATCAGAGGAGAAGATCTAGAGGCACTGGAAGGTCCCGCCGGCGCAGCGAAGGCGCGCCATGCAGAAAATAAACGGAAGAGAGAGGAGAGGACGAAAGAGAGGCAGACCGCAGAAAATAGCAGGATATAATCCTCAAAATCGCATCAATGGGCATGTGGCCCCCTGCTTATCTTACCCCCGTTGGCTCTGTAACTATCGAGCATAAGGAGGCTGATTAGTTATGTCGTTCGACCGCGCAATCTCCCTACAGGGAGGACACCTAAGAGGCCAACACCTGGGATAGAAACGGGGAAATCTCAAAGCCATAGCGACCTTGATAGGGTCGCAAGACAGTGGATTCAAAGATCTGCTGGTGATATAAAGGTGGTCCTTATTTTATTAAAGTATCTCGAACTAAGATTACGGTTCGACGATATGGCCGCTCTGGAGTTACAAGGGCGGCAGTCCTCCAATATCATTACCATTAAGAAACAGAGGCAGGATAGCTATATAGCTGGCGGTCCATGGACTATTCCCTTTACCGACCTCTTTCTGCGAGCCCCATTTAGAAACCAGGGCGATATTATATTTAATAACACCGAGTTAGAGGAGTGGTCGAAAAATGTCTGGGAAACTTTCTAAACCTCTTCTTTCAGGGGGTGGCGCCCTAAATGGTGAGTGCGCCATATAGCAAACAAGCTGGGTGATGCCAGAATACAGAATGCTGTATATATATAGTCTATATGTGCCAAAGGAAGGTGGAAGAATGTACCAAATTCGACCAACGTAGCAAACACATGTATGAATGAAGGAGAATGGTATTGATAGGAAAGTCCAGGAAAGAAGAAGAGAAGCGAACATTCTGCATGCTTCACCAACATGGATCTTTTGTTGACCTTGTTGCGCCTGCGTTTTCCCTTCTTTTTTGATGTCTTCTGGTACATGCGCACTGTAAATCGTCAAAAAGATCGGTGATATAAAGGAGGCTAATCGAAGAAAGAGTCAGCCCCCCTCCCCCCCCCCTCTTTTTTTAGACCATCGACTCTTGATTATCGATTTGAATCCTTAACTTTAGTCTTTGTGTTTGTCACCAGAAAGCGATAATTCAATACCGAACCGCCATAGGAGCCATGACACAGCCGAAGGTTGAGGACCTGAGTAGGGAAGATGTCAAGAAGTTGGCGCGCATCTTGTTCCTTGATGTCAAGAAGTTTCAGGAACGAGAGGCTGCTGCCAAACTGACCACTGAGCTACCTTCGTACCTCCGCCGATCGCGAATCCTCTCGTTGATGGTGGACAAGCTAAATCTCATACGAGAGCCTGCGAAGGCTGCATGTTTTATCCATAAGACGCTGAATAGAGAGATAATTCATGCACTCTGTGGGCTCATACGGGCAGAAGTGGGTGAAGGCCTGAATGGGCTGGTATCAAGGCAGACTCGGTTGTCGATTGAGCAGAGGCGCATGATACACAACCTCCGTACTGTGAACGGACTCTGGATGACGCGAGAAACAGTGGAGAGGAAATATCTCATCAGGCCATCTTTCACATGGTATTATCAGAGCGACGGGTGCGAGGCATGCATGGTCAGCCGGTTTGCGAGAGACCGGGCTGCATTGACAGATATGCGCACGCTTCTTCTCAGTCGGATAGGGAGGCGAAAAAACAGGAACCCACCGCAACTTGTGAGGTGGGTGGAAGAACTGATGAGCTGCCACGGTCCATCTAGCCTAGAAATGTTTGTTTTCAGCGCGGAAGACGCACTAGAATTGAAGGCTGCCAGGCGGGATATCAGGGGTACGAAATCTCAGGGGCAGAACGCTGCTACCGGCCAGGGCTGCGGGCTGAGGAGAGCAGAGAGCAACGTCACCCACCGGCCAACCAGATGGACATCGGTGAACACACGTCAGGCAAACAGGCGACCACGGTCGATGGAGACACTTCGGAGCCCAGACAACAGTGCCCTCCCGTCGTCTGAAGCCGAGGTCGATACTGCAAATGAAATTATTGACTGCTATCTTAACCGGACCCTGATTGATGTGAACCCAGAGCCGGTCACAGCACAACCAGAACGGCAGCAGGATAGAACGATTCCTGATCCAAAGACAAGGTTACAGCCAGAGCCAGGGTCGGAGCAAAGACATAGAATCGACAGGGCCGAGTGTCATCGTCCAACTAGCGCTAGTCAAATGAAGAGAAGCGAATCGCTGAGAATAGCTATGGCAGCGTGTTCCGAGACAAGACGTAACACACAAATTCAACCATTGCGGTCACCGAGCATATCTAGTTCACGGGCTGGAACTAGATATAAATACCCGTCGAGACGAACCCAGAGTGTGTACTCCAATGGCGGCAGCTATTCCAAAATGGACCAGAATGTCCACAAGCCAGTCTGTCAAAATAACGACCATAGAAGCAGCAGGTTGACTCGCTCACAGACTATCAAGACGAGTAAGGAGCAAGCAGCAGAGTATCGATCCCTGCTTGGAGAAATGCATCGACTCTCCTGTTATTCCCCGTCCAACTACAGCCGAGCAACGCTAGTCGAAGGCCCTGGCATCCCGAACCCACGGCTAGAGGAGAAGAGACCGGTGTCCGAGGCAACGACCCGTTGGAGTACGTTCGACGGAGGAGAGGATCTATACCCCCCTATTGAGCCGATCCCCCCGTTGAGAATTCGAAAAGAGAAGAGAAGAATCGGAGGAGAATGATGTTCCAGAATATTAAGAACAGTAAGGACGGGAAGAGAAGTGAAAAAAAAAAAAAAATAGGAGATATATCAAGGGAGGAAGGGAAGAGAAGTTGTGATTCTCAACTATTCAGAGGAGCTATAACGGCGAGTTTCTCTGGAGCGATCAACGCAGCTGTTAATACAAGGTTGGAGAATGTGTTCAAAGTTAGGGGCGGCTCCAAAGGTAGAATGTACACATATTAAGCTTGTAGGTGGGCATGTATGAGCAAGAGGAAACAGGAATATAGGTGAATTAGGGGTAGAGCTGAAAGAGGTAGTAAGCAAGGGAAAAAGGAGGAGACAAAGTATAGGCCTCCACTCACAATTCATCACCGTATCATTCATACAAAGGAAAAAGCGGAATAAACAGCAATAAGTGGAATAAAACGGAGGATACCCAATCAAGGGAATAAAGGCGGCGGATTATGCTTCTGGGGTATGAATAGGTATCAGGAAGAAGAAGGAATTGACAGGCTCAGAATTAGAAAGAGTATGAAATGCAGTCAGTGGCTGGTGGAGAGGAAGGAGGGGGTAAAAATTGACATCAGCGAAACGTTATTATAAAGGGATATGTTAAGAGGTGAAAGCAAAAGGTATAGCGAATGATTATTTATGCTGGATGCTGCCACTTAGACGATGGGTTAGACCCTTCAGAGAATCTGACTGAGGAGAAAACGAATTAGTGGTTTTGCGGACGCTCCGCTTCAGCAAAGAACGGGTGGATGCATCATCGTCGTCTCTAGAAGCCACTATGTGAGTTTCCGACTGTGGTATTTGTTTCTGTTCCTGTGTGCCGTCAGTCTGAGAGCAACTGGCCAAGTCAACGTCAACCTTTTTCTGTGCTGCCATCCGAGACCGTTCATATCTCAGCGTGACATCACCCTTCCAGCGGGTGTCCAGCAGGCGATCCCAGAAAGTGAAGAATGGTTGGCTGAAGTTTGATTTGATGCCCCAGCTCTGGTGGTGGATGTCATGATAAGCGGCGTTGTTTCCAGTGACATGCTGAAGGGGGTCCCAGGGGAAGGCGTAACCGCAGTGGTCATCGACAGTCTTGAGCGTTGAGCAGGTGAAAAACCACATTCCCTGTCGAGTGGTCATGCCACAGGTGAGGAATGCAAGGCCGGTGCCGGCTGTGTCGAGAAGGAAGCCCTCAAATGGATGGTTATACAAAGCACCAAAGGCGTATGGTACATATAACCTATGATGCCTTGAGTGGAATGTAGCTGTTTCATGTCAGTAAAGAACATAGCAGTCGACGCAGAGATATGAAAATGCAAAAAAAAAAAAACTTACTGTATAGCCACTTGTTCATATGCATAGCGCGGTGAAGGAAGTACTGCCATGTGTCGACAAAGGTGATGGCATATACAAACTGGAGCGCCGGGATAAGGTAGTAGTATATAGAATAGCCAACGGCCCACTCCCAGGCGGCGAAGGCAGGTGCTGTGGCAGTCTCTCCTGTTGATGAAGTGACCACCTGGGTCAGAAACGGGTAATGGCCTCCTGACACGACAGCAGCAAGAATAGGATAGCCCGAGAGCTTGGCCGCCAGGCTCACAGGGTCAACTCCTAGCAGCATCATAAGCCGGGGCACCGCGCGCTGGGCGAGGCGGATACGGGTGGCCCAGACGGCAATATCATACTCTTCTCTGCCATTGAACTCTGGCTGATCGAAGAATATGAGCAAGATGCCAAAGAGGGTCTGGATGATCTGCTGTAGGATGACGTCGCGCACCACCTCCCAGCGGGTGACATGGTTCCTCTTCAGAATCTCTGCTGGAGTGTGAAGGCGGTATTGCGGGAAGTAATCATTCACGTCTATCCAGTGAAAAATCATGGACAGGGCCCAGTAGGCAACTACTGGGAGAATGAGAATGGTGGCATTATCTGGAATAGGGGCGATGAGTGGTTGGCGGGGAGTAAGGGTGTAGGACGGGAGCGGCGGAAGCTCAGTTGCGGAAGCGTTGAGCATGACGGGCAGGCCAGACGGTATAACAATGGCGGAAAAGGAGGGCTGGACGCTATCGGGAGGATGTTTCCTTGAGCTTGCCTGTCACTCAGGATCAAAGCTATATCAGACGACAGAGGATGCCGGGCCCATGGGATAGAAGAGTAGAGGTAGGCCAGGCAGATAAAATCGGACAGGATCGGGAAGAACGAAAGTTGTGCGCGGTTAGGGGCTGCTCGGAAGGCTGAAGGAGAGAATCGAGCGAGGCACGACAGGACGTCGCCTTTTTATTCGAGAAACCAAAGATTCGAAGAATTGGACGTCGAAAGTCGAAGTTGATGTCGAAAAGTCGGATGTTTTTTTATTTTTCGACTCCTTCCTTTTTCGGCCAGAACAGGTGATTATCACGTGAATGACATCACGTGTTATTGTGATATAAAAGTTTATTCTATGTTTTTATTTTATTATATTTTAAGGGGGATTTTCAACATACATAGAAATCATGATTCATGATTCGGGTGATTCCATAACTACTATGATGGCAATTATTGACTGCCAGCTGTTACTTTAACGGTAAAAGTGCTGCTATTATTAACTATACACACTCAGGATAACTGACTAGTTAGTCAGTTATCTGTACAGCAGGCTTCTTTTCCCCCTTAATGATACCCTCTTTTCTTCCCTTTGGTCCAGAGCTTTACTTTTCGCCTCTGTGGCCTGCCCTCCGCCCACGTAAGCTCTTCCTTGGCTATCGAACCCCCGAGGCCTCTCTGACTGAAGGTCCCTCTTACCTCTAGTACAGGATAGTAAAGAGTAAAAGGGAAGCATCCTTATTAAGGGAGACTATAAGAGAGGATTAGGTAAGAGAGCCGGAGCTACTAGAGAGGAGATGGCTAGAGGAAAAATGCCTTCAGCCTAGAAGGGAGAGCAGGCTGGAAGTAAGAGCAGTATAACTAATCAATTAGGTAGTTATGTGAAATTCTCCCTTACAAGCTGAGAACGAATGTTGGCCGGTTGGTCTGTCTAATCCGCCGTCAAAGCCTCTCAGCGAATTACTCAATGATCCAGGCTAGAACCTATGAGCCTTCCTTGCAAGGGAATCGATAGCAAATATCTGCTCCATCGCCACTAGCCAGTGGCTCTGAAGACTGGGCCAAACAATCCTAACCAGACAATACACCCCATAACTCTATTTAGCAATGATATCAAGAAAAAGTGAACGCCTTTTTACGGCCTAGCCATCGCTCAGGAGCATGACCTGCTCCTCATACCTGTCGCCCTCAACGGGATGTTGAGAGAGTATACGGTTTATGTCTTCCAAATCCTCTTCAGCTAGAGACAACGCCCTGGAGTTTTCAAGCACTCTCTCGCGCTTCGTTGAGCCCGGGATAGGGACTATGGTAACATGGAACCTCTTCTCTAGAGCAAGAACCCAGGATATGGCAATCTGTGGCAAGGTCGCACCCTTCCGGTCGGCAATGCCCTCGAGGGCCTTTACGAGTTTTATGTTATTCTCTATTTTGCCTGGTTGAAACCTTGGGAAGGTCTTTCGTCTGTCCCCATCCGGCAGGTCATCAGGAGACTGGATCTTGCCAGTCAAAAACCCGCGGCCCAGGGGTGAATAGGCGATGACGGGGATATTGAACTCTTTGCATGTTTCGAGGATGCCATTGTTTGTGGGGCCAGTGCTCCAGAGGCTTAGCTCTATTTCCACCGCAGCAATTGGAGCTACTCTGGCTGCCCGTCGAATCGTCTCGGCCCGAACCTCAGACAGACCGATACCCCCGATCAAGCCCTCGTCGCGCATCTTGAGCAAGGCCGCCATCGTCTCTTCGATGGGTGTATTCCTGTCCACGCGCGAGCACTCGAAGATGTCGATTTTCTTTGTTCCTCCCAAGAGGCGCACACAGTTCTCTACGCTCGGCCGTACTCCTTTCTCTGTCCCGTCGAAGGCGTGGTCTTTACCCATCCCGCCCTTTATGCTTAGCACGACCTTGTCTGCATCCTCAGGATACATGCTAAAGTATGCCCTGAGTAGCTGCAGTGAGTTCGCGTCCGGAGGGCCATAGTGCTCGCCGCCATTCCAGAAGTTGGCTCCTTGCTCGAGAGCTGTCTTCATCACCTTGAATGCATCCTCGTACTTCGTTGGATTGGGCGTCCATGTGAAGCCTGTTCCCCTATCCATCAGCCACCTAATCTGCTAACCTGACCTGAAGCAAACTATTTACTCACCCATTAAGCCGTATCCAATCTTGCCCACCGGCTTGCCGAGTATCGTACTCATTTTAGAAATTAAAATAGTCTGCCAACAACAAGTAGATGGTGATTTTCCAATATGGTCAGCAATGGGGAATCCTGTGGTCAACAGTTGCGGAGGTAGACGATGTTACACCTGTCCGTCCCCTCACGTTGCGCAGCACATGCCTTTTGGTTTTCCATATCTTCCACTTTGGTACTCTACGTCATTTTGTCTCGTTACAGAGAAGGCACTACTTGCCACTGGGAGCCTCAAAATAAACAAACATAAAACCACGGATTTCAAATAGAGAGAATAGTTGAAGAAATACGATCTCGATTATTCATTGCGTCGTCAGTGCCTAGGTATATGCTGAAGAATTTATGAAAAACAATAGATGAAGTAGGAGAAGAAAAGCAGAATCTGACCCAAAGGTTCCCTGAGGTATAATGGAGGCACCAAGCGAGGGATAACAGTTATTTTTGCGTAAAAGAAAAATTATATGGAGAAGTTCAAGGTAGAAGAATAGTAACCAAAAAGATCATGATACTATATCTTGTGCCCAGTTTCCACATCTTCATAGTTAGGCGAATGGGTGTCAGAAAACTCTTCTGTGAAACCGGATACACGACGCTCCCTCGGCCGTGACTCGGTATTTTCAGAGACTACAACGTTGTCAAGGGTTACCGGTACACCTATGCTGGAAAAGGATGACCCGTGGCGACCATGCGTTGGTCTGGCTGGATGGTGCAGTTCTCGCTGGTTCTCAGGAGACGGTGAGGTTGCAGGAGATATTGGGCTGATGAATGATGGCGTCTCACTCGGGTGTCGAGCAGTCACGGGAGTGTCGTTGAAGGGGGTAGGTAACTCTGACGGGCTCATCACAGTGCCAGCTACACAAAATGTTAGTTATAAAGTGTTTGATAGCTATTAATATCATACATATTTGATGTAGTTACTTACCATGCATCTCATGTATCGGAGAGCTGCCAGCCTCCGGGGCGTTGAGATCAGAATAAACAATAGTGGAGGGAGGATGGTTATTGGGTGACACGACCGAGTCAATCCCTGAATCCGAGTATATACCCGTCGAGGCATGCTTGTCGTTAATGCCAATTTCAGTGGAGGTAGTAGTCATGTCTGGCTTGTGCGATGGCTGTCCCATTCCATACATCCAACCAAGGATGCGTCTCCTAGCGACTTCACTTGTTCCTCCAAGGCTAGGAGCGTATCGTCTTTCTTTGCGTCGACGGAAAATCAGCCACACCACTGCCAAAGCAGTGATGAATATCAGGCCTAGGACAACACCTAGAACTGCCCCAACCCACCTAGGAAGACCACCGCCTGCTCCCTTATCCTCTCCGGGGGGAGCGGTAGTACCGGGAGCGGATGTGGTTGCCTTAGCAGGCTCATATGGATACCACTTTTGGATAGTTTTGGTATATTTCTTGCCAAAAATATCTGCCAGTTTATCGTTATCCCAGCTGTCCGGCTGAGTTTTGGTGGCTCCCCCTTTTCCACTATTTTCAAGTAGTAGGAAATATTAGTAAAGGTTGCCAGTAAAAATTTAACAAGAATGGAGGGATTCCTTACGTTCCGCCTATCTTCTTGGTGATCACATCTGGAACTACGTACTCGTTCCACTCCCTCGGGTCGTACTTATCCTTAAATTTCAGCTCGTTCAAATTAAATACCCGGACTAAAGGTCCTACTAGACATGATGTTTGTGATGTATATTGACCGCCAATCACGAACATTTGATCCGGGTATGGTTTGACACACTTGTGTGCGCGGCGACCCATGTTGCTTTCTCCAGTATATACTTTTGTCCAGGTAAACGAAGGAATGGACAGAACATGCACATCATCGTACGGCCTGACGGTGCGTTCGGTGCCATTGTACCCGCCGTAGATGTATATATTGAATGAGCTCCGATCTGCCGCCTCGCCGACAACTGAGCAGAATGAATTCGATGCTGGCGGTATATCGCCTGTAGTCTTCTGTGAATACCTTTTTAGAAGTCAGTGACTATTCAAGCTGTTACTAGAAAAGGTTCTGCATAAGTTACCATTCTCCAGTCCCAATATCATACAAGCTAACCATCTCCATAAACGCGGAATCCTTCTTAGTCTGGCAGAATGTGTTAATGATAGAGTGAACGCTAATTGGGGAACAATATGCAACAAGGCAGTCAAAGACTTACGTTTTCCTCTTTCTCTTGGGAAGATATGGGTGAAGGATATATGGATTCCGGGTTTGTAACTCCACCTATTACGACCATGACGCCGTCTGAGACGGGCAGCCAGACCAACTCTGCACTTGATCGTCCAGTAACCCCCGTAAGATTGTCACGGGCAAATTTTGGTTCGTCAAATCTGGACAGGTCAACAGATACAAGAGTATTAGCTGTTATATTCGGCTGAGTTACTACGTCTATGACGTCCCCATTTTCTCGTTGACGTCCACTGAAGTAGTATCCCTTGTTTTCGCTTGGAACGGATACGCCTGCTCCATGGGTAATGTAGCGGGTGACATCTTCACGGATTTGAGGTAGGATGGAGCCTGGTTTGAAAGGTGGTTTAAAAGGGCCGTATTGATAGGCATCATATCCATAGAGGGACGAGTTTGTGGGGGTTTGGAGTGGCCTCCGAGTAATACCACTATAAAAGCCTCCTGGTTAGAACATGGAACGGGGCGTTATAGGCAGAAGGAGTAAGTACCCATAAGTAAGAAGGGTATAGTCACTGTAGAACATTGTTCCATCAATATAGGTAGGCGCAAGAAGCGATGCATCTCCGCCAGCGAGCCTTGGTATCCTTCCAAGCAGGTCTGTGAAATTGGTTTTCATATCAAAGGAGGAGTTGAATGAAAGCGTAAACATATTGTCCAAATCGGGGCCTACGTCCTGGATTAGCTAGTCTGTGACGTGTTTTTCATTTATTAAAAGTCCCTACCAGCCTTCTCCAGGATCGGCCTGCCATCTTGAAAATTGCTACATATTGTCAGGAATAATAACGATCAGAAAGTATCATAATGGGAAACTCACCGTTGCCATAATAAAGAGCCTCCATCAAGGTAAACAGTGTCGCGAATAACTCCAGCTTTAGATAACAGGCGTCAGCACTCCAGTAGACCCAAGTAGATTACCGTCAGTCAGTACATACCTCTGAACCTATACCAGTTACAAAAGTCGACGTTAGTCTGGACTTTATCTCCCTGACCGTTAACCACGGAGACAAAGGCTAGTCCTAAGCCCGCAATGGCGCTGAACGACTTCATCTTGCTGGCCACCAAGGACGAAATAGGCGACCAAATGGATTGAAGCCCAGTCGAGGATGTGAACTTGCGCCTGGCCCTTCACTCGAGAGTCAAGCGCTTAGGCTGCGGTGCGCTATGCAGGTCAAAACACTTTATCTGTCTGGCAGAAGGCCACTCTCATGGCTAGTTTCTAAGCTAGTCTGCGCTTGAAGTGGTGATGTCTGCGCTTGTTAAACGATGATGCCGCTGCAGACGAGGGCTTGAAGTTGAATCGACTGCCCCTTGTTCCCCTGGAGGGTAGAGGAAATCCCCGGTGACTGGAGCGTATCGAGTAGGGCGACGCCTGACTGGGTCGAGTTGGGAATATATCTACTCCGTAACTTATTCGTTGAAGAAGTTACTGCGCATGGTAGTAGGTTTGTGCCGGAATAGGGCTGATTTCAATATTTTACAGTGAAAAACACGACTCTAATTACCCTCCCAGGTCGCAGAATCGTGAAGAAGGGCCAAAAAATAGAGTCAAACAAGAGAACCATCAACTTGTCAGGAGTGATGATAAAGAGAGTGATGGATCGGTGGCAGTGGCCGTTAAGCGGGACTGAGGCTGGAGTAGCGCTCCCACGGCCATACCAGCTGAAAGGTTGAGAATACAGGAATCAGAAGAAAGAAATGGGAAATTGAAAAAAAAAAAAAAAAAAAAAAAAAAAAAAAAGGCCAAAAACCCAAAAAAGCCGCAAGTGCTGGCAAGGGAGAAGCCACAGGGGCCGGGGCGTTGGTCGTTGGTCAAGAAGAAAGCTAGCGAGAGGCCGTATCCATAGGTAAGTTCATCTATAGGCATGCACTCAGAGCCCGCAGGATGCGTTAAGACCATGAGTAGTCCGTAACTAACGAGTATCATTCCGCTTGTACGGAGTACATACTCCGTATGCTCAGGCTGGAACGCCAGAGATGAACTCACTTGTTAACCCCTTTAGCTGTGCAGCTAGTGTCTACGGAGTATCGGTCCATGAGAACTGTTGGAAGCAAATCCCTTCACCGTCCCCTTCATAAAAGGATATGATGACTATAATGGTGGGCAGCTCCGCAAAATGGGGACGTCTTTTGCGGGCCTCTGCATCCTTGGGCCTTCTCCAAAATCCAACATGTTCTCTCCATCTGGCCAGGGAGGGAACAACTGCCGTATTGAGAGGACGGGGACTCCGTACGAATAGATCCTCTGTTGACTCCTTGCATGATTCCTCGCTGGCCGATGCCACCCCATCCCGGGCGTGGAAAATGATAGCCGGCGCGCTCACTTTTCCATTTTTGACCATGCCGCTTGTTTGTTCCCATGGCACGTCCATCCCCGAGTTAGGTTGTTGTCCTCTTGGGTGTCTGACATCGAGGCTTGCAGGGGAGCCCCTGGCGCCGTCGCTTTAGCGCGCCATATATTTCACGATGGTTGGACAGCCAAGATCGTTGTGCATGGAAGTTTTATCCTTGTCACCCAATGAATAGTTTTCTCTTCTCTTTTCTTCTGTTTCTCGCCTCTCCTCTCTCTACCTTCTTTGTTGGTCAGGCATTGTTATTATCGTGCGATGACATCCGGATGCGGCTATGGCGAGGAAGTGATGATCAACTCCAGTTTCAGCGGGTTATTACCAAGTGGGCGATTAACTAACTTGTGGTGTCTCGCGAAGCAAATGAACCTGGCAAGGGCAAGTCCCAACTCTCCTGAAAATGATAACTTGTTGTTCCCTGTACGGCGTACGGAGTCCAGCGTCCTCCGTCCAGTAAGGAAAATAATGGGGGTCTGACAGGTGATGCAACATCCAGCAGCGACATCGTATTGTTAGTCTTATGTCTTCAGATACATGGCTGGGGTGAATGCGGACAAGGGACAACTAACTAAGCGGTTCTTTACTCGGGGTCGATATTATTCCATGCATGATGATGTTCTCTGGTCGCAGGGGAGGGCGCCCAGGGTAGTCTGCATCTTGAGGACTTTACGCCGGGCACCTGATCATCGCTCGCTGTATGGGTTTCCCACTTCGGATGTAGCCATGGATGATAAAGCCCATGGGAAGAGCTTATGCGCAAGGCGAACAGAGTATGCAGGGCTTTTCACGATTGTAGTTAGAGAGTTTCTCTGCTGCCGATATACAGCTTACTATTCCATCAATTGCGAGGTTATCTCGGTGCACTAAAAGCACCTATCCTCCTTGATGGCTTTGCGTCAGTAGCCAGCATAGCGCGTCCTTCGGGTGGAGTGATTTGGACTTCAATGAGCAGTATGGAGTACTCCGTAAGTGATATCCATAACACAGTCGTCATCTTCTACCCTGGTTTTGCTGGAGAGACGAGCAATGTGCCATCAACACCCAGGCTTACTCCATACTTTGGTACTATGACAGGGCATGCACACGTCCCAATTTCTGGACAATGCTGGAGTGGAGATATCACCCAATCGAGCAGACCAGTAGACTCTATTCCCCAGGTGGGGTGAGTTGTCAGGGAGATACTCCTCGTTCGGGAATATGTACGAAAGGAGGGGCAAGCATGGGTTGGGCGAAGAGCTCAGAATGCCAGCATCTAAGTGCCGAAGGTCTCTGGCACAGATTAAGCGGAAGTTGCCGTAAGTCTCCCATAATTCGGGGCAACCCTCAGTTTAGACTTAACAGCATAATATTGACAGAGTTACGTTCAATGGCTGCGCTGCGACGGCCCAACTGTTGTTTGCTGGTGCCAACAGAGGATTTCAGCCTCGTTGGCAATGGCCAATAACGGCCGCTGAACATAGTGTGTTCCCATCTGGAACCTCGGGAAGAGAGGCTTGTACGTTGCCTTGGATACGACACGCATTAAATGCCCTCCTACCCTGGATCCTGGCCAAGTTTGAAGGGTAACTGCTTCTCTTAGCTGCATGGCTGGCTTGCGAGAGTGCATTATCTTCAGCATCCTCAGGCCAACTGCTCCTCGCCATCTACTCCGTATCATCATCGTCTTGTGCCCGCGCAGGTCCAGGGACACTGGTTCACCTCCCTTGACAGGACGGCAGCTCCATGGATGCCTGTCTTCTGCCTTCTTCCTCCGATGCACGCCAAGTCGAATAGCGCAAGTCGATATCTGCAAGAAAACGTCTATCCCTGTCCATGGAGCTTAGGCCCGGCCCAAAGCGCATCAAGAGTGATCACTAGCCTAAGCGATTTTTTCAAAGTCTTTTTGTTGGGATCAGCTGTTGACTGGTAGATACGGAGTGACGGGCGGACGAACAAACTCAGGAGTTAACCATAATGCACGGCCTCTGAAGTCAAAACCTTTTGATCCCCCTTCGATAACTTGCTTCCTAGTTATATTAATAGAGATACTCTTGCTACTCCGTATTTGTGGGCGGCTTCATCCAGTAGGAGTGGATAGCGCTGCTATCCTCCGACCTGAGATAACGATACGGAGTAAATAGACCTTAACGGAGGGAGCCTCATGACGCATTGCTCAAAGACTGGAATGACCAGCCGTTATGGAAAGATTTTAAGAAAAGTCAGCCTAGAAATCAAGTATGAGTTAATATTCAAGCCAGTGAAGAGCAAAGGGTAACTGTTTCGCGATAAGGAGTATTCGCGGAGGAATTCCCGAGCTGCAAATTTTTATTATATAACTAGTTAGTTGGAAAGCAACTACTAGCTTGTTGAAGCACTCGGCAAAACTTCCACTTAACTCCGCTGATGAGTCGAATATCTCAGTAATGATATATGTATAATTTCTGTAAATATTTATTGCGTCACGACCTAGTGGAGTTTTTGGAAGCTTTATGGTAAAAAATTTGGTGGGTAGCGGTTGATGGTTGATGGACCGGCGGGTTGTGGGTAACTGACTAGTTAGTTTAACCAGGTGGTTGACGTTGTAGTTAACTAACGAGTGGGAAGACTGAGGGACAAGCTGAAGCTGAGCACCGCCATCTCAGACCTCCCGCCTCTCTCTGCGTTGGATAAACCCACAATAAAATAACAACGGCGACTCCGCCTCTGCTTTGTTTTCTCGTTCAGCCAGGCTGAGCTTGACTTTCCACTGGCGAGGGTGGTGTGGCGTGAGAGGGCTGGTCAAAGGCTTGGACGAATGGGTGTGTGTTTCGTCCAAGGCTTCAACTTTGGCTTCTTCCATTCTTTGTACTCCGTTGTTATGGGTTCTGTGGTTCAAGCAGGGTGCAGAAGCAGGTACAACAAGACTATCGGTCGTTAGTTAGTTAGCCAGCTAGCTAACTGGTTGAATTTTCCCCTGTGAGACATGCGCCTTTCTTAGCCTGCGTGAAGATATCACTTCCGGGCGTGTCTAACTCGCTCGTGCATGGGAGTGCCCAGTCCTTAACTCATATCGCCGCGTGTTATGACTGATGGGCGCGCAGGGGAGCCATGCTTGTGCGAGAACTGGAGCACAAAGAGCAGGGCATGCATGCAGACACCCGCGAGAAGCGTCTTCCAGGCGAATCTGAGACAGGGCGGGAGCTGTTCATCCAGTCTCCCTGCGTGACTTGTTGGGTGTACTCCGTAAACCTCGAAGTAGCAAGCAGAGTGACCAGCTCGTCGCCGTCTTGCCTGGAGGTTGAAGAGATGAAGTCGTTCGAAGTCGACGACGACGGCCAAAGCGGAG